TTGGTAGGGTCCCACATTGTCTGGTCTTTCTTTTTGTTCTAAAATTTTCTCTTCTTGTTTTTTCTTTTTGGTTGCTTGGGGACTGGGGTTGTTATGCCTTGGCGAACTCCGTGAGCGATGAGTCTCTGGGCCAAGCATTTGGCATTGTCGAAAGATATCGTCTTTGAGGCTATTACGTTCCCTTGAATCTGGGGGGATAGTCCCCAGATGTAGTTGTCCACCTTTTTACTCTCCGGGGTGACCATCCCTGGATATAGTATTGCCAGATCATTCAATCTGGCAGTGTAGGTTGTGATGTTAGAGCGTGTCATCTTGAGATCCCAAAGTTCTTGCACTAGTTTTTCAACTTCATCCCTTGGGCAATATTCCTCCAGCATTAAGATCTTTAAGTCCTCCTAGCTTAATGAATTAACCATGGCGAGGGTCAATGCCTTGATGTTGTCGTTCCACCAAGTAAGGGCACGGTCAGAGAAAGTGCAAACTGAAAATTTAACTTTACTTGCTTCGGGGCATGCACAGATTTTGAAGACCGATTCAGTGTTCTCGAACCATTGCATCAGAGTGATGACACCTCCGCTCCCAGTGAAGGGTTTGGGTTTGCCATTGGTAAAGTCCTTATAGGAACAATTCCCTCGAGCGTCCCTGATTGTCTCCATGGTTAGAGTTCGTAGTACCATATCCCGTTCCACTACCACCATTGTGTTGATCTGTAGCATTGCGGCTGCCACAACTACTGTTATGACAACTTGGAAAATCGGGGGGGGGGGGGGGTTCAAATTATGGAGGTGGTGGTGGAGGCGGTGGTGGTGCTATTGGTGTGTTGTTGAAACGCCTGGGGTTCCTTCGTGTTGCCATATTTCTACCACAAATTTTAAAGATGAAATGATGGTAAGTCTTTAATAATGGTTATAAGTCGTGTGTTATTTGACTAATTATATTAGTTTCTACATGCATCAAGTTCTGACTTAAAAGTATTTTGTAACCAATTCATAATAGAAGTCTATGTAAAATAAACCTATGAATTTTAATTGTGATTTGATCTATACCTGGTACTTCTAGAACCACTTGGTATATACAAGTTGTATGTAATTAAGATTTCAATAGACCTTTGAATTTAATGGGTCTGCCATATGCCAGCAACCAAACAAGGAATAGGGCGTAAGGCGTGCCCACAAATTCTAAGCGATAGTGTCTTAATTACATATAACTTTAATGTATACAGTAAGCAATCATAGATTTATCATGAGTTAATAATTTCTACAACCAATGTTTCGAAACATGTAGTAATACTCCCAATGAAATAAAATGCATGCCAATTTCATTGATATAATTTTTGATACATAGGGTTTGGAAAATTTGACCTTGGTGTAGGTCTACATTACATCAATGTAAGGAAAACTTTGACAGCATCATGAGCCCTCGAATAGTGTAGTCACTTAATCATAGGGTCGAATATGTATATAGAAATGAGTAGTACTGACGCCTACTCGGAACACCTAGTCTATAGCAAAACATGAGTAGCATATGAAACTACTCGAGGCGATCGGTCCTCCGTAGGCCATAAGATGAAGTCATGAAAGACTGCATCTCTTTCACTCGATGCTCTGCCTCGTCTACGCGCCCTTCCATCATGGCTTCACATTCTCGGTATTCTCTTATCTTAGTTCTGTCACGGTAACATCCCTCTGAAGAGCTTTAGTATGATCACGTGTTTGGTTATAATCTTTGTCCAAATGACGAAGGTATATTGCGGTGACCTCGGTGGTCGTGCCAACCTCCATGATCTGGTTAGCGAACGCCCTTGTTTGTTCTCCCTGTCGGGTGATGCGACAAACCATGATAGGAAGATCCCTGTCTGCTGAACCCCCTCAAGTGAGGTTGTAGAAACCTATTTCCATGTTATAGGGATGGTGTTGTCCCTACTATTGTCTCCATCTGCTTAAGTCCAATACCCATCGAGGCATCGGGCGTTGAAAGTTCTGTCTGGGAGCGGGGCCTCGATCATCTCATAGTGGGTTGTAGATCTTTGGTTCTGAGTCAGTGTCTTCCTAATTCTCTTCCTCGTCTTATTCCTCTGAATCGTCTTCTTCTTATGTATTGTCTTCTTCCATTGCTTCCTCAAGATCCTCTTCGGGATCCTCTTTTATCCAACAACCATTTCCTTGGTTAGGGAAATAGGGGTCTCTTGGTATGTGAAATCCGACCATTTTGTCTATACGAGAATAGGGATATGAGAAATATGTGAAAAACTTAAGTTGTAATTTTTTTTGAGCAAAAACGAAATTTTAAGTTAGAAATATATTTAATAAATTACTTAATGTTTACACGCTGTATATAATAAAAACCGAATAGACTGTCGGATAAGCAGCTCTAGACTAGACCCACAACCAAACAAGGAACAAGATCTAAAGTAGAATCAAAATCTTAAGTCCATAAAATTTTTATTATATTTAAACTTAGCGCATACCCCTTACAATTATAGATCTACCAGTAGGGTTTTTAGCTTTTACCAAAGGTTACTTATTATTATTATATATGTTTTTTATAAATTCCGAGTCATAAATGTTGCCTTTATGGTTCTTAAAGTATTGTAAAATACTCCTATAGTATTTTAAAATCTCTTACGTTTGCTTCTAAAGTTTCTTTGGTAATTTTTTGACTTGTTCACTATGACCATTCCTCGGCATACGTAAGTCATATCCCGGATAAATATAGTTAATCAAGCTATATCTACCCATGATCTGATTACATACCCCGAGGCTCACTCGTAGTGTTCAACTAATCTTAATACTTTTTTTTCTTATCATTATGACACTAAACTAGCGAATACGATTCTACTTATACTTTTATAAAAATATCATAATATTTGAAAGTATACTTGTATGAAAAAGTGTTACGTTAGAGAGTTTAGTTCCATTGTATTTACGGTTTGCATATCGTATGTGGTTTGATATACTTAATTAACTATAACAATGCTATGATACCAATCTATCACACTCCTAAACCAAAGTACACACCCAATAACATTTCTCCCAAAATCATTGTTGCTAATTTCTACTTTCTTGTTACTTGGACCTTAGCTTTTACACCATTAGCTCCTTACTCACCTGATTCTTCCTCTTATTATCATCATTGGTGCTACAATGGTGAAAGATGGGATCAAAGATTTGCAAAGAGAACAACATGTATGTTCATAAGTTTGAAATTTAGATATTTCATGATTGAATGGTAGATCTTATAGGAAGTTAAACCTTATTTAATTTCGAAATTTCTAATATATTTTCAGGATCATTAGGTAAATAATCGAAAAAGATAAAGTTCATCCTAGTGGTGGAGTTTTCGGATCGAGCCAATGGAAGAAACTAAGAGTGGAAATATTGTGAAAGTAGAAAAAGACGAATTCTTCCCTGCAGATCTTCTATTGCTTTCATCCAGCTACAATGATGCAATCTGTTATGTTGAAACAATGAATCTTGATGGTGAAACATAGATTCCAAGCTTCGAAACACAAATTACATCTATGGCGCCCCTGCAACTCCACCAGCCGCTGCACACAAAGAAGCCATCGATTGCAACTTTTCTGCTTTCGTTTCACCTTCGTCGAGTCAACCAGGCACCGAAAGGCTTCACACTTTTCTGATTTTAGTTGCGTTCCTCTTCATTCTCGATCGACTGCCTTTGTTTCAAACTCTTCCATTTAACACAGAGGAAAATGATAAACAGGAAAGAAATAGGCCCAATTTTTTGATGTGTGGCACTCAAACCGGTTATAACAAGTCAAGGAGACTAAAAAGACAGGTAGCCACAAGTTTTTTCCCTTATAAAGCCACTTAAAAAGTTAAATGACTAAAAGAGTTAACCTTAACAAGTTTATAGGGCATATATGTCGTTTCCCCCATTTTTTTTAGCCATAATATTAATCCAAATTTCATTTGATTGTATTGTTGTTTTCCAAAATCTTTGTTATTTAGCGTGGCGGCAACATAGCCAAGGTTACCCGCTTAAATTATTTGAATCAACAAAATCTATTAAATGTCAAAGTCACATGTTACTATGAAACAATTTAATTTATTAAATGACATCAACCTACCAACCATTGTGGATCCTCTTAATATATCTCCAACTCAAGCATCACATGCCAATAAATAATATGTGCTCAATACAACTCATTTTTATGAATATATTTTACTCCTAATATGCACATGCCACATGCTTTATTAAAGCATGGGCATGCCTAACCACCAGCGCACATAAAAAAACTTACAAATGGCAGTATCGATCGTTCATAGAATCCATAATAGCGGTTTTTGTTTATTAAAGATATGGATAATAAATATAGCACATGAATGGCAGCCAGGATTCCAGTTTTCATAATTAAAAATAAACAGGCGCAGTGCCACCAGGCTTCTGATAGCTTTGTCTGGTTTTGGAGGGAGCCGTCTCCATGTAAAACTATCTTTTCCTTCAACTTCAAGATTTTATCTTCGACCAGAAAACAAGCTAATATTAGTTTTTTACTTGAAAGAGATACAATACCTTAAATTAAGTATCTGCACAAAATTACGATCGTGTCTACAGGTCTCCACAGGTAACCATGTCTCCAACTCCGAGGCAACCATTTACCAAATTTCATTTAATTATGTAATCACTCGTCCATTGGGCATATATAAATACTTATGAATGAAATAATGCAGATGCCACTTCATGTAAATCTGAGTATATATTTTGTATTAATTTATTCAGAAAATCGATACCCAGATCATGCACCGAAAGAAATAAGTTGTGCCATTCGTGGTGTATTAATATATATATTGAATCATATTAATAATGTAATACAATAATGAGAAATGAGCTGTGGAATATGGGTGAGCACCAACCAAATCTGATTTAGGATCACATTAACAATATTGAACTCCAAAATTCCAACTATATCTATGAAGTTTGTAATCAGATGATAGACAAACACAAATTAGTTTCTTACTTTTTCTTGTCAGTAACAGATGGCTGCTATTTCTTCAAACATAAAACCCCATAGTCATGGCCGATCCATCAGCTTACCTTCTACATTAGACCAGGATCATGCATTCAATCAGTTCTACAGATCTCACACTTCTCAAGAAGCCACCACATCGTGTCCATCATCATCACACATAGGCGATAAGCTAAATTGTGTGAATGATATGTATGAATCCATTCAGCCGTTCCTTACACTGCCATCCACTCAACATTCCTTATCCCACGGATGCCTAAAAGAACAGCTGAACAAGTTTTTGGATGAACTTATAGGGCTTTTGGATCTGTGTAGCACAATCAAGGATGCCTTGTCTACATCTACGGACTATGCTATAGATCTCCAGTCACTTCTGCGGCGTAAAAGAGGCGATATCCATGGGTTAACTTCCTCAGTCGAGGATTATCTATCCAATAGGAGAAAAGTAAAGAAGTCTCTTTATAAAGCGTTGTTAGGTTTGCAGAAGCAATCTGGTTCTTCAACAAAGGAATGCCCCTGTAAAACATCAAACATCAATATATTGATGGAAATGAGATCAAACACATTGGCTGTGTTTGAGTCGTTGTTGGTGTTTCTTCTTGGATCAAATACACAGTCAGGGCCAAAAGGCTGGTTTTTGGTCTCAAAAATGCATCGTATAGGCGCCAAGCGTGTGCAGTGTGTTGAAACAATTGAAGAAAGTGTAGTTCAGAAGGTACATGATGAACTACACGTCTTAATTAGAAACAAGAACACTAAATCAGACAGATTAGTTCTTGAGAGTATAAAAAGAGGTCTAAAGAAAATGGAATTCAGCCTCCAAGATCTAATTGACCAATTAGAAGGCCTTTGCAGATGCTTGATCAAAAGTAGAGTGTCAATTCTAAATATCATAAGCTGCTAACAATAAGTCAACAATACGTAATGTATTCATGTAAATAACTTTTTATTGATAACAAAATTTGAAAACATTGAAATACTTTTTTGTGTAAATCATAGAGTATTCAGGTGATTAATAACCGTTTACAATTTAGTAACTTGGCCACATCTCCGACTAAAGGGTATTCACAAGAATTGAACTCCATCGAGTTTAATAAATTGTCATATCATCTTTCTATATTCCATACAACTCTATCAATATTTTCCTACAATGCATTGTGTAACCTAATAGGGTTTTATTATTGAATCATAAAAGGGAATACAATTACAATGAAAGGAGAAGACCATATAAATATGAAAGTGATGGTTGTTTTATTGTTATATATACCAAAAAGCTTTAAATTTATAACCCAAGTAATTCTACCAAGTAAAACACAAATAGACAGTGTACATAGTAAGATTATACTAGAGTAAAGTAAGTCAGGTGTCGATCATAGTAACAATATTTTAATTAATATAATAAAAAAACTGGAAGTTAAACTATGAAGAACAACTAAAATTGAGCGTTCTATCTGATTTTCCAAGTCATTTTAACGTAAGTTATTTACTAAATAGTTTTAAATTGAAGCGCACAACAAAAGATGATTTTAAATGAAGATAATAAAGATACTTCTGTTTAGCTTCGAATCACCCAATTTCCTATGGTTAATTTCAATACATGAATTAATTTGAGTTGGTTATCAATTTAAATTTTACTAGAAGTTTTGGTCCGATTAACTAATTTTATGAAGTACTATGCAATGGTCTTGCACAAGTGGGACACTTAGTTGATTATTAAGATTTTGGGCTATTAATGATAAATGACATTATGACAAATAACCAAAACATATATTATTCTACCCTAGTTGAAGAAATTATTGTTTGAGAACGAGTTTCATATTGATCATTTTTACACATGTGAGAAAAATAAAATAAAAATATGATCTCTAATAGTGTTAGGAAATAAAATTAACTATTGTTAGGATCCTGACAAAGGTTTGGGATCCTGAAAGATCTTGAAGATTCAAGATCTTGAATAGGGTTGATGATCTTGGTCGTAACAATTGCCCCGAAATTATAAATTTAATTAAATGAAGTTAAAGAATTTCAATTTCGAACCCTAACAAATAAAATTTATCCGTTCCATAATCATCATCACGTATTCAAATCATCTTCTTTCTCCTGTAGTACTAGAATAAATAAGGGTAATCAGTTCATGATTTTCTTTACCATCCTTATCCTTTCTCTTGATCACGACCGGTTATTTTCAAAGGTAATTTCTTTCTTCCATTTTTTATTTTGTTTTCCTTCCTTTGTGATCATGGGAAAGGAAATTGTTAGCTCTCGTGCTAGCATACTTCGTCCTTTCGATAATGATTTTGCTGATCAAATATTACTAGCTCACGATAAGTCATGCTCTTTCGACAATGAGGATAATCAACCTTTGAAGAATAAAGGTACTTTTTCTAATGGTGTTGTCTTCAAAAATTTTGATGCCTTAGCCCTGTCGGATTTTGTCTCACCTACTTGGGTTTGCTTCGTGTGATACACTTTCTGTATAGGCTTAACTTATCTTTTCACTAGTATCATCTTTAATTTCTTTGAAGTTATCCAACTTCTATATATCCAGGTTATGCCAATAGGTTGGATGATCCTTTATTGGATCAATCACTCGAATCAGTCCAAGAACTTGGACATTGATGTATCTATGTTGGCTTCTATTTATAAACTTTCCATGATTGTCTCTACTCATTTCTTGTTCAAGGTCAAACGATACAAACCAATTCTTTTTCTAAAATCCAAGCATAACGAAGGCGCTTGGAAACAATGTTTTTTCTTTGTGAGAAACGATTCCATTCCTAATGGAAGTTATCTGCCAGAGAGATGGGTTACTAAGGTTAGGATTTTTTGTTATTATATAGGGATCCTGGGATTTACTTTATTATTTTAATTGTTGTGATGCAAGGTTCAAATTTGAGGATCTTGCTCCTAATATTAAAGATATGGAATATAAGATAACAAGCTTTCTTGTTTTGTTTAGTACAGTTAGATCTTTTCGACTCAAACCACCTAGTCTTTAAGAAAGTTCTTTTGATACTACACCCATGTCGACATGTAAGGATCCTTAGCTTATCTGTTTGTTTTCTAATATGAAGGATCTTTAACTCTTAGGCCTTTTTATTTATGTTTAGGATCCAAGGTCACACGCTTACATGCTCGCTTTACCCTCACAAATCTTGACACATCTATGTCTAGTCGCTAGCATGTAGTAAAGAAGGAGAATACCTCATCTTCTCCACCCCTTTAAAGAGAACTTCCATATATTTTACGGTAAAGACTTTGGGATCCCGGAGTTGGTTTCTTGGAGCTGAGGATGTAGTCCGAAAGTTGGTTTCTTTGTCTCAGGCTGTAAGCAGTAGTTTATAGCAAGGAGAAAGGCTGAAAATGAGGAGTAACATGCGGCTGAGATGGATGAGGTGATTGCTGAAATGAAGGTTTGTGCTACCGTGGCTGTGTAGGAAGCTATGCCTAAGCTGACAAAACATGTGGTGAATACAAATATCCTGGAACACAGTTGGATGGCATGAAGCCCTAGCTAAGATGACTAGCAAGCTTGTTGATGCTTGTCAGGGTCCTGCAGAGAAGAAGAAGTAGGGAGAAGAAGGAGAAATAGAGAAGGAATTAGAAGAAGACTTGAGTTATGATCCCTTTAGTACCATATGATCTTTGGAGTTTCCATAGAGATGAATCCATGTTGGGAGATCTTTGAAGACACTTACTTTGCTTTCCAACAGGGACAAATAATACTTAGCAAATGATTAGGGGAGATCCATGCTAGGGAAGATCCCAAAATAACTATGAAAAACCCTATTTTATATAACAACCGTGGAAAATCCCATTTTTATAATAACTATGGAAAATCCTAACTAATAAGAAAACACTATAATGTTATAAATCTTAGGGATTTACTAGGGAGGATCCCAACTTAGGATAACATGATAAAGTTGTAAATGTTAGATTTAAACTGTAGGATCTTAGGATATGTTCGTAAATAAGAGGGTTGCCAAGTCACTAAAGGAAGAAATTATCCCATTATTCACATCCCATAGTTAGATAACATGCATCCAAGCGAGGTGTAGAAACCTTAACTCATGTGAAAGAGGTTATTAAATCTTAAAACCTTTGATAGGATTAAGTACCCTTTATCGTAGGAGGGTTGATGAGTCTCTCTTTGTGGTTAGTCGGATCCTTATTTTCCTGCAAGTTACTAACATTAAGTTGTGGTGGAAGTTATCTTGGCTTTGAAAATTTATTTGAAATAATTAGATAAAAGTTACGAGTAGATAGTGTGTACCTTAAGCTTGTTAGAAAATGATTAATATAACTTACATGAAGCATGATTTTAGATGTATAACATTCTAGGGTGTTTGCAAGACTTGGCATTACTCTCTAGAGGGATATCAATTGTCCTGTTATACGAAAGTCGTGCACATTCAAATAAATCTGAGATATACTTCATATTCGATAAAAGATAACCTTTTGGAGATTGTGGAACTTCAATCCCCATGAAATAATGCGTTAAGACGAAGTCATTCATAGAAAGAATGGTTACCCAAATCACACTTCAAGGATTAAAATTTTTGTCATGAGCATTGTTAATAATAATCATATCATCAAGATATAAGGAAAGAAGGATCTGAACTACACTTGTAAATCAAACAAACAAAGCATAATCATGACAATTAGATTGAAAACCAATGGATGTAATTATTGTAGAAAATTTCTCAAACAAATAATGAGGAGCCTGTTTGAGACCGTACAATGCTTTCTGAAGCCAAAAGACTTCACCTGGCCTATGAGCAATACTTGGTGGAAGAGACATGTACACCTCCTTATGAAGATCACCATTCAAGAATGAATTCTTCACATCTATATCATAAATATTCCATTATTGAATAAAAGAAGCAACTATCAGATTGTGAATAGTTGTATTTTTTAAACTGGAGAAAACATATTCAAATAATCCATACCATATTCTTGTGAGTATCCTTCTGGAACAAGTGTTGATTTATAACATTCAATAAAGCCATTAGACTTAGTTTTGATCTTATATACCTATATACAACCAAGGTTTTCTAGGTGGGAGCAGAACCGATTCCGGTGTATGAGTTTGATAAAGAGCTTCAAGTTCATCATCCATATCATTTTGCCAAAGAGAATTAGAAACAAACTTTTTTGTAGGATGTTGGATTTTATAGATAATGTATATTCTCAGCAAATGAAGAAAAGGTTGACGAGTAAGAGGAATATACAAATACTAGAAGCTTGGTGGACTTTTGGGGACTAGTGGTGGAAGAATTTGAAGAAACATCATCATTGCCAATGCTAAATACATTACTCAACACGAAAGCTATAGAATGGAATATGTTCTAGAAATGTGACATGTCGAGAAAAGTAATATTTTTTGAATTGTTGATCATAACATTGATATCCTTCTTTACCAATAGCATACCCTAAGAATAAACATAGAACAGATTTTAAAGACAACTTTCTTCACTCCATGTGAGGTAGTAAAACAAAGCATGTACACCCACATACATGCAATGAAGAATAACTAAGATTTCTCCATATAGTTTCTCATGACAATGTTGGGTTTTAGTTCAAAAAATAGTTTCCAAAAACTTGTAATATTAGAAATGGAATTATTTAAAATTTTAAACTTAAATCAAAATCATAACCCACCAAGGAACTTGCAAGCATTGGAAATATAAAAACACAACCATAGAAGGAAGAAATAACAACAACCTTTGAAGAATTTTGGTTCCTCTAGGGAGGCTTGGAGTTGAAGAAGATGGATGAAATTTGAGAATGAAATGTGAGACACCAACAATTGATCAACTTGGAGAGAATGATAGGGAGTTACGGTTTTGAAGAATATGGATGAACTTTTGGTTCTTCAAGAGAGCATGCGACAAAAAAGACCTC